CCAGTTTCTGGGAACTACCTGCTTTCCCTTGGGCCCTGCATGATCCAGTTCACATGTGCTTCCTGGAGTCCCTGGGGAATCTGTCTCTCTTCTGCAACCCTGAAGCCGAAGCAGCGTCGATGACCACTCAAAGCACTCACTTTACTAACAACTACGTTAGAGCTGGAGGCCAGGCTCCCAGTTCCATCGCGAGCCTGCTGCTCTTACTTCCCACGGTAAAGCTCATTAAGGAAGCTTTTCCCAGAGAATCTTTGGCCACCTCAGGTTGTGTGTATAATCATATAATGATAGCTCGCTCTCCTAATGGTGGCTTGTGTCCTGGAACATGAGCCTCACCTTTTCCAGTGCACAGGCAACATACACTTCCAGCCCCTACTGGCACATTATACTGGCCAAGCTGGCAGATAAAAGGGGAAGGGGGATGCAGCGGATAAACAGGTCTGTCATCCCCAAGCAAGCATTCCACTGGCGTATGGAAATAGACTCAGGCATAGAGCACCTATGCAACAAAATCCTCTCTCTCTCTGCACATGGGTTCTCAGGATGGGCCATGCTTGGTTTGGGCTCCAGTACTCAAGTCTGAGCTGGAGGGACACTGAAGGGGGTATAAAGAAGAACAAACTAAATGACCAAAGGTCTTACAAATATTCCCCAAGAGAATAGGCTTATAGAGCTTTAGGAAGAAAGGACTTCTGGGAAATTTTCCATAAGAGTCATCATGTGTAAGAAGAAATGTGAGTTGACTGGAGGAAGAGAAAACGGTTTACACTGAAACAGAAGGGATTTCAGTTGGATTTGAGGCAGAATCTGATGGAGCAGTGTTCGCAACAACACTGTGTGGACAGACATTTGTTTAGCAGCTCCTATGTGCAAGGCACTCCCCACCTTCTCTGCACCCCTCAGCAGGGGATAGCCCATACACTGTGAGGCACTGAAACAGTCTTCAAGGACTTTCTGTGGAATACCAAAGTGCCAAGAGCAGAGCTTTGGGGGCCAGACTGCCTGAGTTGGAATCCACCTCTGTTTCCTTACCATGAAGTGGAGATAGTAGTAACACCTACTTCATAAGACTGCTATGAGGAATAAATGAGTTCATTCATATATAGCACTTATAACTGTAGTGGCATGCAGGAAGAGCTCAGTGTATGGTAGTTATTCTTTATGTGAGTTTTTTTCTATTTATAGAAATAGTCATGTTCACTGCGGAAAGTTTGGTAATGACTAAACGGTAATACGAACAAAACAAAATCATCCTTAATTCTGTCAGCCATCACTGGGAATTTATAACCAAAGGGAAAACACTATTTTTAAAGATAATTCTTTTTTCCCCCAGAGGTAATCTACACTGATCGTTCAGACTAGGCTATGGGTGTCTCAGGGTTCCCTGCCTGTTCATTGTCCCCAAAAGGTCTGCTCTACTGGTCGTATTGCTCACGCAATGCCTACTCATTCTGAATACTGGGACGGACATCCCACCCATGCCCCTCTAAATGGCTTATAATTTTTCTCTTTCTTATTTTAATTTTTGCCAGTCTATTTTGCTTGTGTTTTGACAGTATATATGACCTTACATCATTTTTGGAAGTATGCAGGGTCTATGTTATAAATGTAGTCATTAAATTCAACAAGAGTCTAATTGTCCAAGAGAAGTAGGATTCTCCTTCCAAGAAGTTCTCTGCAGTGGAGCAGACCATGCTTCTTCTACCTCAGTGGGCTCTGCTTGCATAATCTTTCCCAGATCTTGACCTAAATCCTGTCCTCTGATACTTATGTACAAACTCCAATGGTCATCATATGGGCATATGGTATTCTGTGCAGACTTCACAAGTACGCGTTGTATAGATTTCAGAATTCTCTAATCAATGGGGTGAAAATCCCCAGGAGAGAAATGATGGCTTGGGTTTTTCCAAGTCAAACATGTTGATGGTGAAGGAATTCACATTTGAAATTACTTAGCTCCCAAGGTGACAGGACAAGAGACTCAAACCAAAGACATAACCATAGACCAATGTGTGCAGAATGAGAGCACCAGACTTGCTCGAGATGTGGGAACTCTGAAGGTGGACAGCCAGATCCCCATCTGTGAGTCAGATGAAGATGAAGAACATGCACACAAGGCTAGGAATCTGCTGCCTGCAGCTCCAGTGAGAAAGGAAAATAGAATGAGGAGATAGAAAGCACTTCTAGACCATGACTGGTAAAAGGAGATATGAGCTCACTGAAAATGAGCTGGTGCAGAGGGGATGACAACAGTGAGCCGAGTAACAGATCTCTTCACGCAGCATGGAAGGAGAAGTGGGTGTGTCAGCTTAGTGTTAACCGACGGGACGCTTCCTGGATGTGGGGACAATGCCGTAAGGATGAGCGTGATCAAGTTGGACTTCCCTATTAATTAAAATGGAAAAGATGATGGTATGGAGACACATGTTGGTGACAACATTCAAGCCCTCTGAGAAAGAAAATAAAAAGATCCAGTGAGGTCAAAACAAACCAAAAACAAAGCATAGTGAATAAAGCGAGAATGTAAGAGAAAGAGCAATGACCGAAGGTAGCCTTCAGAGATTCAGAAGACACGTCAGCAGCTGTACATCCATCAGACATTCATGCATGAAAGAGTCCCCTGAGGATTGATGACAGTGATGGGCATAAAACTAACAACGGCTCCACCCAGAATGTGCAGCACGTCTCCTCAACGGTGTAAGCACTTTACATCCTTCACACTGAATCCTCACAATGGCTCTGTGAGGTAGGAATTATTACCATCACACTCATTTTACGGGGAGAAAAATAAAACAAGAATGAAAATAGAACTGAGGTGCAGAGGGGGATAACCGCTTACCTGAGACAGAGCCAGGGAGCTGCGAAGGTGGGCTGAGCCTGGTAGCTAACGACTGTGTGGTGCACCTCACCGCGCTGCTAAGGGAGGGGTGCACCTCAGGGGCAGCACAACCCAAAGACCTGCCAGGATCCTGCTGACAATGTTTAGGGAACAAGAAGCTATAAAACTCTACCCAGTCACGGAGCTGACGTGATGTCAGGCCACTGGCACATGGGGGAAAAAGTGTGAATGAGGAAGTAGCTTTTATCAAATGGCAAAGTGATTTTGTCTGAACTTGGCTTTATATAGACTTAGTACAGATGAATAAGGAAATATGTTAAATTTTTAAAACAGATATGATTCTTGCATTTCACAAGTGAGGAAGAAAATCAGAGACTTATGCTGGCTGAGCTGGTCCAGGGAACTGAGGATGTGAAAAGAAAAGAAGCCGCAGCAAGAGCCATGGTGCTGGCCCCGTTTCTGGAAGGGACAAGAACCCAGTCTGGGATGTCAAGTCAATCTCCTCAACTAGTCTTTGGAGAGCAGGACAGAGTGAGAGATGGAAACAATGTTCACTCAATGGATGAAACTTAAGAAAGGACCCAGACAGATCTGGGAGGGTGGAGCTGAGAAACGTGGCCTTGGCACACAGACATCATAAGAAGTAGTAGAAAGTAGGGACCCAGACGGGAACACCTGGGAAGTTACAATTTAATTAAGGACGGTCTGCCTGGATTCACACAAAGGCAGCCGTGTCTAACAAATCTGATTTATTGAGGAAGTAACAAGAAGACTTGATGGGGTTAAGTCGTGGGCATATGGAAAGCTTTCGATATAGCCCCGAAGGCTGAATCTGCATGGGGGAAAGCACGGTGTGCTATTGTGGTGCAGGCCAGAGCAGGGGTAAGAGGCTGAGAACGAACACAAGTGGGCCTGCAAAGCCCCAGGCTGCTCTCCAAAAACAAGAGCTATGCCTGTGAGGTCCTGACAGGTGAATTCTGGCTGCTCAGGAACCTGTCTGCTTGGCTTGCAGGTGCCTTGACTTTGCAGCGGACAGAGCCTCCTGTTGCCTAGCCAGGCTCCACTGAAGATGCAGGTCCCACCCATTGTACTGGGGAGGAGGCTGGATTCATCAGATACAAGTGGGCCTGCAAAGCCCCAGGCTGCTCTCCAAAAACAAGAGCTATGCCTGTGAGGTCCTGACAGGTGAATTCTGGCTGCTCAGGAACCTGTCTGCTTGGCTTGCAGGTGCCTTGACTTTGCAGCGGACAGAGCCTCCTGTTGCCTAGCCAGGCTCCACTGAAGATGCAGGTCCCACCCATTGTACTGGGGAGGAGGCTGGATTCATCAGATACAGAGGAGACCAGAGTCCACCAAAGGATGGTTTTAGCAGACTGTACATACAGGTGAGGTGGCTGGCTTGTCTGCAACTGGTCCGACTGACCAGCAGAGTTATAAAACCCAAAACATGGTAAAAGGGTCCATTGTCTCCACATCCCACTGGTGGTCAGCTGTCCCTCTGGTGGGCCTCTTGGCCATCTCCTGGGCTAGCCTGCAGGTACAGAAGTGGTTACAATGGAGCTCCTTCCCCACAAGGCTTGAAAACACTTACCACATCATCTCGGTCTTCCCACTCCACCTCAGAGAGGTCAACACTACTATAATCAGGTTTCCTTCGCTTTTTCCCTTCTTCATACTAGCAGAGAGAAGAGGATAAAAAGAAAAAAATGTCCATGAAATCATCAGCCAGGGCCACCTTTATCCTTGTCTCACAGATAAGGACCAGTAGAGAAGAGGATAAAAAGAAAAAAATGTCCATGAAATCATCAGCCAGGGCCACCTTTATCCTCCCGAGTCTTGTCTCACAGATAAGGACCAGGAGTAGACAGATATTGCTGAGAAGCTCAGCAGGGTGACAGTCCTGCGGGTTTTAATGACAGGAAAGCTGAGGCCAGATGCCTGTAAACATTTGCTTCAAGCTGTGGAATATAAGTCAACTGTTTGTTTGATACGAACTTACCTCCTAGACTCTGGTTGTAAAAACACCAGATGCAAAGGCAATTATGTCCTCTCCTTGGATGCTGTGTGTGTGAGATAGGGGAGACCCTTCTCTTTTCCAAAGCTATAAAACTCACTCCTTTGTGACACAAGAAAGAGCTTCTTAACATTTGCTTATCAAAAATCCTGTTATAACCCCCTAGGCTTTGTAATTCTCCACCCCTACCTTCTGTTTCAAACCAACCCCATACTCCTTGGCTAGGAAACAAAAGGACTGAGTCCCACAGTTGACGTAGGGCTCAGCCTCCTGGTAGCATTTTGCAGACACACAGATCCTTCTATATGCCATTGCACTGGCCACAGCAACACTGAGCTCAGCATGGCTACTTTACCTGGAGTAGATGTGGGTAGTGGGAACCACTGCCAGATTTAATGGCCATTAGGGCATTTCTCTGGAAAAGCTGATGAGTGCATTAATAACTGGGGAAGTGGTTTTAGTTCTTCCCCTAAATCACTGGTGTTAGTCATCCAGCGAGCCTACCATTTTATCCACCGGACATTCTTGAGTCTGGACATTTTTGCATCTTGAGGCCTTTAATATTGGTTGTTGGGGTGTTTATAATGTAGGAAAGTCTGCCCTCTGCTGCAGGCTAAGGATAAGCAACCCCTTTTATAAGTTCACAAGATGGTTAATAGCACACCGGAAAAAAAAAATATATGTATGTATACTGTTTTCTTTTTTGCTTTTCTCTCTAGATTGGTCATCTTTTGATTAAATTGGTAAGACTCTAAGTGAAATGCACGGTTAGTTTAAGTTTTTTCAGACCCCCAAACCATAGGCTGCCATTTTGGACACTGGCTGCTCTAGAGACAGGTGCTGAAAGCATGCCAGGAATGAAGGAGAGAACCACTGCCAATACATTGAACCCCACACACCTAAACCCAATGGAATCTAAGGGAGAGTGGCAGGGTGGCAGGTCATGTATGGCTGTGGTACCAACAGGCCAGGTGTTTTTCCTGCACTCTTTTCTTCCCTGACAACTGCATTTCAGGAACTCTGCGACATCTCTGGAAATCCTGCCACCACCCAGGAAGGCCACCTCGCCTCCAAGGGCCAGTGGGCTCTGACCACCCCGGTCAACAGTGCTTCCATCCCTTCTCTTTGGTTTCCAATTAGCAGACGTTCACGGTCAGTTTTATGACATCGGATCCACTCCAGATGAAGAGGAAGGGAAGTGGTTCCCTCAGAAGCCACTGTAAACGATAGCAGATTAGCAGTTGGATCCTGCTATGGAAAGTTCATGTGTGCATAGAAGCTCTGGCCCTCTGCAGAGCCAGGCTTGGGCTGCGCAGAGGAAGTGAAAGGAGGTCAGCAGGAGTTGCTGGCAGCTCCATCCTGTGGTGGGCAGGAGTGACAGGGGAGGGTGCTAAGACTCAGGACAGTGCCCCGGAAGAGCTAGAGACAGACAGTCATTCTGGTTCTCTGTTAACTGTGCCAGTGGTTCTCACATCCCATTTTAGTGGGTGGGCAGGAGTGACAGGGGAGGGTGCTAAGACTCAGGACAGTGCCCCGGAAGAGCTAGAGGCAGACAGTCATTCTGGTTCTCTGTTAACTGTGCCAGTGGTTCTCACATCCCATTTTAGTGAGAACCATTACTGAGAGCTACGAGGCACTCCAGAAATTCCTGCAGCCCAGATCCTGAACTTTAAAGGCAGAACTTTCACAATTTCTTGGGTAGCCTAATGCAGGCTCAAAACTGTCTTTTTGGGGGAAGTTCTTTTGGTTACTTCAAAGTGCTCCTTTTTCTTTATTTAACACATATTTACTGGACTTGGACTAAGTGCAGGGCACTAAAGATATAAAGTCAAACTGTGCTTCTCTCTTCTCCAAGGACTTACATGCAGCTTATCACCCTTACTTCTGTTTCTGTAACGTCAATTTATTGCCCATTGTGCATGTGGAGAAACATGCCCTATCAAGTTAAATAACAAATATGTTAGATAAGATCATAGAGCCAGTATGGGGGAGGACATCCCACCCACCACCAGCTTCTGCCCAAATTTTCTTGTCTAAGCCTCATGTTATTTCAACAACTGTTGAAGAAAATTAAAAAGATCCCAAGGTCTAGAGCACCAAAGGTTCTTTTATCCTCAGAAAAAATGTTCACATGTCTTTGTCAGAAGAGAAGAGCAGCAGCTCTGCCAGTTCACGCTGCCCACATCACACTGGGTGTATAACCCTGAGCAAGGTACCCAGCTGCTCCAGGCTTCCTTACTCAGTTGGCGAAATGAGAAAAACAGTAGTACCCCCATATCAAAGGGTAGGTTGAGAGGATTAAATGAGATAATGTATGGAAAAATGACAAGCACATTCCTAGGCACAGAATAAACCTGTAACAAGTAGCTGGCATGAATCCTGAAAGTCGTGCTATCCTTGGGAAGAAACAGGCTCATTGCATAGAATTGGCTAATATCTCTTTCCTTAAAAAGAAGACCATTCAATAGTTCTGCAGGTCACTGTTCTGCAAACCATAGGCAGGGAGATGTTTATTGAAGATGACAGTGTCAGACAATCACAATCATATGTCTCCTCCTGGTGTATATCTTACAAGTTGAGACTTAAGACTCTCCAGGCAGAAAAACTCATATTTGTGCTAAAGAACCCAAGTCCTTTTAGATGTCACTGGGCAAAAGTGGAATCAACAGAGAACTCTTGACTTCTAACCATTCCTAGACATCTTTAGTCATTTTTTAGAACCACGAACATGTGATTTACAAAACGCTTCACTGTTCCCCAAAATATGCTACTGGGTTTAAGCACAGCTGATCTTCTCTACCTGCTCTACCCCTGCATGCCCCCCACCCCCGTGACAAAAAAGAACTAAACTCTTGAATCTCCAACTCTCAGGCCAGATCTCCCCTCTCCCATGCATTGTGGCGAGGGACAAATCCCAGGTCCCCCAGCTCCACAACTCCCTCTTCTTCTGCGTGAGGAGCTCGTTACTGGGGCTGAGGCATGGTATATGGCATTTGTTAGTGTATCTATAATCTGTAACTTCCTTTGAAAATGTGATTAACGAATTGCAAACGGTTTCCAAAGGTTTATAAACAGATACTATGAGAGCCACAGGTAGGTTTGTAGTTTTTGGTGCCTGCTTTATGAAAAAAATATGTGCGGGAGAATTTAATAAGGAAAGATATTCTGTGCTATGAAATACTTTGAGGTGGAGTTTCAAATAAAGGCCAGATGTGGTGAACACACAAACAAGCCCATGCCTAGGAGGATGGGACAGGAGGGTACCCATTGAGGAGCAAGGCAGAAACATCTGGGGGCTTGCCTGAAGTGCCAGAACATTCCATCAGTGTTTAAGGGTCTGGATGTGAACAGCCATCTGCGTTACCTGCAGATTGAGTTTGGAGCTCAATAGATATGTGGATTTAAAGAAAATAAAAACGTCTTTGCTTTTTCTGTGTTCTTTTGGGAAGGGCTGGAGGAAATCAGCTACACACATCCATGCAGCCTCTGTGGAACAAATATTGTATGTGCTAGTAATTGATAAACCGTATGCGATGCTCCACGCTGCCAACAGGAAGGAAGGAGATGGGGGTGGGAGGCCCCCAACTGTAGAGGAAGAAACCTTGCCCAAAGCTAATGCCATTTGGAGGAGGGGTGCAGCCCAGGGAGGGCCAGGAACCAGCTATTGTCTGGGCAGATGTTTCTCTCCCCAGCCAGCCATGGTCCTCAGCTGGTGAAGGTGCTGCATCTCCTCTTCTCTCCGAGGCTGAATGGACCACTTCAGGAGAAGGGATGTGGGCATGCCTTCTCTCCTCGATACGCAAGAGACAGGGCCCGGTGGCCCCGTGCCTTCACTCATCCATTCATTCCCTCATTTGTTCTCCTATGCGTCCTAAATACTGTTGGACACCTAATATTTCTCAGGCCCTGCGCCTGCACAGGTGAGCCTTGGGAAAGCACGTAGAAGCCCCTGGGAAGGACAAGGTCCTGCCCTCAAGTTGCCCATCACAATTCACTACCAGTGAATCAGGCTACGCCAAGCGAGGCCATTTAGAAAAGAGGTTAAAAGCTGGGGCCCTGAAGTCAGACCCAGATTCTGATCAGGTCTACATGCTGTGTGCTCTGGGGATAGCTGTGCACCTCTCTGAGTCTGTCACAATCAGAGACCTTGATTTGCGACTGAAAAGATGGAATGCAAACTATTAATGCTGGGAGGAAAGGCTATCACTCTGCCACAGGCCTGCCGAGCCTCCACCTTGACTCTGAGAAGGTGGCCCCAGGGAGAGGGCGTCCCAGTGGCCTCTAGCAGCCACTGCTCACATGGGGATCAGCGGTTGGGGCCTAACAGTCTAAATGGTTTGAGTGTTTGTTGTCTTGTTTTGTTTTGTTTTTCTTATCATCTATGTAGTAACTGCTTATTGCAGAAAATTTGGAAAACAATAAGTGCAAAAAAATACAAAGAATACTGCCCTCAGTACCGCAATACAGGGGTCACCACCTACCATCCTGCTGTCTTTCTCAAAGAGTAAAAGTACTTTGAAGCAGCTACTGTTTTCAGTTTTCAAAGTTCATTGTTCTCCAACAAGGAATTTATAAAATGCAGCCACGAATCTCTCTGCTTTCCAATTAACTGCGTTTAGAAAAAATAAAAAGCCATTTTTCTCTCCTGGCCAGGTTTCCTCCCAGCTACTGTTTTCAGTTTTCAAAGTTCATTGTTCTCCAACAAGGAATTTATAAAATGCAGCAACGAATCTCTCTGCTTTCCAATTAACTGCGTTTAGAAAAAATAAAAAGCCATTTTTCTCTCCTGGCCAGGTTTCCTCTCACCTCCTATCTCTCTCTTCATGAAGGTGAATGTTTCTTGCAGAAGGCACGGTGCTAAGCACTGCACATATCTTCCTTAATTCTCACAACTCCAAGTGAGGGATAATCGCTTCACAGGGGGGAGAATGCAGAGCCCAGAGATTGTAGGCCACTTGGTGACACATCTAATATGCGATGGACCAAGACTCAGTTCCAACTCGTTTCTGAGTCTCTGGTATTCCTTATCCTGCACCGTCTCCCTTGAGGTGGTCTCCTCCTTGCTAACTCAGGTCCTCAGTTCAGACGGCAGCTACCGATAGGAATGCACACAGTAGGCCCACTCACAGTTGCAGAACGATGTTGGAAGTCAAATCTCAGAAGCCAGTTACATCTCTGTTAACAGTTGACTCATCCAGCCTGCCCCGAAAGTGGCCTTGATGGCCAAGGATGCAAGAATCAGTTTTAGACAAAAAACCTAAATATATTGAGTGACTGCCATATACTGAGTATTATTCCATACATCCAATTGA